CATTTGTGTTGGAGAAGATGCTACCAGGTTGTGAGGTTTTCTGAGGCAGGTTGTGGGAGGATCCACATGACAAGGTATGGAGAGGTGTGGGTAGCACAGCCAGGTTGAGTCTGCTCAGAGTCCCGCAAAGCTTCCTGAGACTCTGGGACAGAAGGGGTGCCAGTTCCCAACCGCCAGAGGTTGGATCATAAATGATTCTGTCATTTACTTCTGAGTTCTGAAATTATTCTCTAGTGCTAGTAACTCATACACTAGAGATTTATCTCATACACTAGGCATTTATTCCAGCGAGGTCAGTGGGCCACCAAAAGACCTCTCTGAAGTCTTCAAATGAGTGGTGTATGTTGAAGACAGGTATTTAATGGCAGGGAGAGCAATAGAAGGCTGGGCTTTATGGGTAGGATAGAGGGGAACATCTTATCCATATGGTTAGGTTTTGTCAGTGATGAGTGAAGTGGGGACACAGATGGCCATTAGCAAAAAGGACAGAGCAAACTGCCCAGGCAGAGCCAAAGTGAAGGACTGCTGTAAATCTCCACCAAGTAGGAGGGTGAGAAACTGTTAGGTGAAAAATATCACCATGCCAGTGCATCTATCTGATCAGTCCAGACTGGGCCAATCTGGTCACATTAAGGCAGGAGTCTGCCAATAACAAGAAGAAAATCTTTTGGCACAGCAACAGCCACAGCAACATTTTCACAACTCCACAAGACTGTCACTTTGAACATAGAGCTTTAGGGTCTAATGTAGTTAAATGCACTTGGAAAAGAGCCAGTAGCTGTGATTTTTAAAACCACAGGGAGCTGCTGAGATCCTTTAAAAACCAAACCGGAGAAAGGTTATTTTCAGCCTTCCATGCTCGAGAGCCGTTGATGTTGGTGAGAGGATGTCAGCCAGGGACCCAGGCCACTGAGAATTAACTGAGCCAGAGAGGTGAGCTGCCTTCCAGATTGAGAAGCTTCTTTTGAATCTTCTATGCTGAGAAACTTCCCCTGGCACCTTCCCCTCCTAAAAGGACAGGTGGCTGTACTCAATCTGCAGACATTCCAACAACACTTACTAGAGGCCAGGCTGTACACCGAGTCAGGAATACCAACCACCTGTGTTCATCCATCTTGTCCTATAGTCTGCTCCTCTTGCCAAGTTGGTGTCCATTGAAAACTCAAACACCAGAACATAATGCCAGTGTGACACCAGAGGAGACATTCCAGAAGTGAGTGGAATTTGTCCTTATCTACAGGTTAGAGCAGGTTCCCTTGTCCTTTTCCTTGAAGATGTGCAGAAAGAGCACTCGGACCTCCCAGTCTCCAGTGTTTATAGACAGTCAGCATGGGATATTTTGGTACCCAGACTGGTAAGGAGGTACTCAAAGACTGCAGGAACTGGCCAGTCAAGGTAGCCATCCATGACTACTGAACTCTGATGGATTTCAGGTGTAGACCTTATCCACTGTTGGTACAGCCAGAGGTGGCTGGAGGCCTCTTCCACTTAAACTGGTGAGTTATGCCAATTGTCATGTCCTCAGTGTGCCATGTCTATCTGGCTGAGATGACAGGAGGGCCATAAAGAAAACCTAGTCCATGTGGAGGTCTACATACAGTCTGAAGGAAGGCAGGGTGTGGTGGCACAGGCAGAACAGGAAGCTGTGAATTTCATGTTTACTTGGCAGCAATGACATCCTAGTGGTGTTAATGAAGATGCTGTGAGAAGCTGGGATGTCCTCAACTGGCTATACTGGCTACTCCCTGCCACTGAGGGTATCAGGTACTGAGTGGAGGCTCTGCTGCTGCTGCAGTCTAGCTATACAGGTGCTACTGCATACACACCAGAAGCTCCCAAGGACCAGATTTCTCAGATCCATTCCTGACCAGCTCCTTTCTCAACAAGACAGTGGGAAGCCAGAACCACGTTCTCCCTACTTTGTCTCTTCTGAAAACAAACCAGGCAGGACCAATATGTCCTTCTCCAAAGTGAAGGCTAAGCATGAGCTAAGAGATCCTGTCTCTTCGCATGAGATATCCCACATGTCCACACTGTAGTTGAAACTACTCATTCTACAATGATCAGGGAAATCTCAAACAAGCAGCAACTGCTAGTAAAGACGAACTCAGAAGTCATTTACCGGATAATGAACTTCTGCTGAGCAGGAAGTTAAGAGAGAGAAAAGCAGGTGGTAGCTCACAACCACAAAGGCACATGGCAGATAAAGTGAAGCTGTCCAGCTGACTGGTACGCTGTGGAGTTCCTGTGGATGCATGATGGGATGTGTGCTGTGAAGTGACTGGATACACAGCCAGTGTAAAAGACCCTGAAGACAAGGAGGATGACAAGGACTCCAAGTGTAGAACCCTATTGACTCAGGGTGCATTCGATCACCTGGTTGCAGTTTCACCCCACCTCCCTACATCTTTACCCTTGCCTATGTCCTTCCTATATTGCTAGTGTCAAGCCCAACACTTGAGCATAGACCTCTCACCATCTGCCAGGGAAGGCAACCCTGCAGCTGTCTTCCACACCTTCAAGCCTCTCATCTCTGTAGCTCTCTCTAGCCTTGTTGAAGTCCTTGTAAGAGCTGACAAACTCACTCTCCTTGTCTAAAACCAGTTATCCTGAATCAAATAGAAGAGAAAATGGGGATGAGCCTAGAACACATGGGCACAGGGGAAAATTTCCTGAACAGAACACCAATGGCTTATGCCCTAAGATCAACAACTGACTAATGGGACCTCATAAAATTGCAAAGCCATTGTAAGGCAAAGGACACTGTCAATAGGAAAAACCAGCAACCCACAGATTAGGAAAAGATCTTTACTAACCCTACATCGATAGATAGCTAATATTCAAAATATACAAAGAAGTTAAGACTCCAGAGAACAAATAACCCTATTAAAAATGGGGTAGAGCTAAACAGAGAATTCTTTCTTGATCTAATCCAGGCTTCTGCTTCACTCTCATGGCCACCAATCCTGGGGTTCACTAGCCCACCTGCCACGAGGGAACAAGTCTCTTCCTTTGAGATCCTTTGTCTGGACTACCACACCCCATTTGCTCTCAGCCCTCAGTAGCTCTCCACTGTGCCCCTTTTACCCTGACTTACAGATCCATGGGTCTCTTCTCAGACATTCATCCTCACAGTGTAACATCAGACTCTATCTAATGGCTGTCTGCCAGGCCTTTCCAGCTGAGCTTGTCCCTTTCAGATATATAGCTCAAATAAGCATCACCTGCTCCTCCTACAACCGATCTTCCCAGCTCAGGAAGGCAGTGCTTCTCAATGGCTTTGGACCCGATTCTTTGCATCCTCCAGCTGATTTCTTTCATCTCACCAGCAGTCCTGCTCTCCTTTCAAGATTCAACTGAAATTTGGCTACTGCGGCCATCCTGCATTATGTTGGCTTTCTCTTCCCTTCCAGTCTCTATGAGACTTAGCCTATCTTGTGACTATTTCCTGATGTATTGCCTGGTAATCAGCAAGACAGAGGAATACACACTGGATCTTTGGTTCAACTTCTCTGCTCATCCCATTAATGGTGCCCACTAAACTCGAAGGGAAGGTAATCCTCCATGCTGTATCCTCTTTAGCCAGCTCCTTAGCTTCATTCTTCTCCACTGTGTCTTTTTCACAATTCAACTTCTTACATGAGCATCCCTGTTGTCCTTCTAGTACCAGGACTGCTCCTACCTCAGGACCTTTGCACACACCAGTGTCTCAGTGAAACTCCCTTGTTTACTTGTTATTGGCCTGCAACGGCATTGTTTTAGTCTTCATCCAGGCCTGGTGGAGTGAGGTGGGGGGGGTCATTTGTGGGTGGTACCCTGTCTCCACTGGAATGTAAGCCTTTCCAGAATGGACTCCCTCTAGTTTATTCTCTGCTTTCCCTGTAGTTAGCAGCATGTAATTGTTCTTCGTAAATACCGATGTGTTTAATGAAGGTGGGAAAGTCACAGGCCAGAATTTAGGTTTCAAAAGAGAAATCATGGTGAAAGGACAGAGTTGAGCTGGAAGGCTCACAGCCCCAGGGCTTGAGTTGAGTCAGCAAGTAATAAGGGCGCGCAGAGTCTCTCCTTTATCATAGCCTGATAGTCTGAGTTTGCTACTTGTTTAAATGGATGAAAGCGTATGCTGGACTGCCATGGCCTTCCCAAGCTTGTCCCCAGACTGCAGCTCTCCTCCTCTTTTACGAGCATCCTTCGAGCTGTAGGGCACTGCCGTGTGCTCTCTAGTGCATGCTTTCCATATCACATAGTCGGAAGATGAAAAAATGTACATTTGATAGATATAAAGGTCAGAACTTCAGGAGTAGGCAGTTGTGTTTTGGGGATGCATAAGAAAAGGATAAGAAAAAGTTAAACTATTCAAAGTTATTCTGTGTTTACACAATGTCCCAAACCCAAGATGCATCTAGGAAACATATGTGGGAAGAAAGCAATATCTAGATGACGTGTGAGACTGTTCTGGAAATTCTAGGATCAGGAAGTGTGCTGTGTGAGCTTTCAGCATGAAACTCATGCTCCCAGGGCATACAGAAATAAAATCACACACACCAGCAGCCAATGGAAGACGGAAGAGTAGTACTACACAGAGACTGTGACCTGTATGTTCCATTTCAAATCACAGGCAGCTCCAAGGTCTGCTCCATGTACCTCTCCTTCAGAGGCCTTTGTCACAACCTGGGATGAGACAGGACTCTCTCGCTTAGCACATTTACTGGCCTCTAAGTGAGATGGATACGTCATTTTTGCATATATTATCTGTGTAGGTTCTTGATGTCTTATGGGGAGCCAGAACTGTACAAGGCTCTGGAGTATGCAAGTTTTATAGATCTGTGTAGAAATAACTAGAATTTTGGTCTTCATTTATATTAAAATAGAAGAGATTTTGATGGGGAACCTTTATTAGCTACAATACAAATCATTTTTTTTTGTTTCTCACACAACAAAATAGAATTTCCTTTAAGAAGAAATAAAAACCTTCTAAATTTAAAAAAAAAGCGCACACTTTCATAAAAGCATTCCAAAAACATAAATCTGGGACAAAACAACAATAATCGATTGATGACTGTCAAGTTCGAGAGCCAGTGGTTGGTTCATTTGCTGAGTAGGCACGATGGTGAGGTGACTGTCCTTAAGTAGCCTTCCCGGAAGCAGTTCCTGAAAAAGAGAAAGAAGAAAGATCATTTGTACACATCAACAAAGCAACAATGATAACATCTGGACCAAATGGTGGATTCCAGGCTGGAGTACCCAGGCAGGGATTCAGCACGCACAAGACACACAGGAGAGAGACGCAGTGCAGCAGAGACTGGCTGAAGTGAGGGCAGAACAGTGGTGGAGCAGAGAGGACGGACAGATAAACAGCATGGCTCTCTTGGGGCTATGCACTGTCCTCAGGGCTGAATTCAGGAAGGCAATGCTCATGTCATTCCAACTGTGGGAATAAATGGCAAAGTTCTCCTGGGTCCATAACGAACATTCGCCTTTCATTCTTGTCTAACAAGAGACTGCACGTTTGGCTGTTTAAATAGCCCCTTTAGTAATGAACACCACACTACTTATTCCCATAGAAAAACTGCTAGTTCAAAATCCAGGTGACAGCCAGAAGGAACACAGCAGGCTCAGTATGGGGGGTAGAGGGGAGTCCCTGTGTCATGCTCCAACTGCACACGCCTGTGCTAGGGAACAATGTGACATGTTTATAGCTTGCAGAGACCCAGTACCTTCTGGTCTTTCTACAGCATCTTGCTCCACGTGTCTCCTGGCAACCTGGCATGTTTCAGCAACAGCTAATAAGTCCCCAACCACACGAGAAGTCTATGCAGACTTTGCCTTCAGCATCTCACACCTACAGCAGCCTGTCAGCTCCAGTGTGTCTCTCATCCCACCAACTTGCATGACTGACTTTCACAACCCCATTTCAGCTTCAACCTCTCCCTGCTTCCGATCCAGTATACTGCCCTCACCCAACACCACCTCTGCAGCCACTGTCTCTGAGTCTTTTATTCCCCAAACACACTGAGGCCACCTGCATACTATGCATAGAAGAACCTCATGCAAACACAATTAAAACACATTTAATATGGCAGGTCTCCCAATCTTTTATCAAAGATAATTTCTTGCACGACTTTTAAATGCTTCAAGTTTATAAAATGTAAAGTACTAGCTCAAGTCTGCTTGGGAGTGTACTGGCGGGTGAAAGACAACCCACACAATGAAGCCA